GCATCCAGTTCTGGTCATCACGGTACAAAAAAGATATTGAGACTCTAGAAGGAGTGCAGAGAAGAGCAACAAAGAACAGTCTGGAGACTAAGCTGTATGAGGAACAGTTGTGGAACTAGGTATATCTAGTCTAGCAAAGAAAAGGACTAAGGGTGACATGATAGCTGTCACAGAGGAGGCTGACCGATTCTCCAAAGCACCAGAGGGCAGAACAAGAAATATCAGATGGAGGATCCAACCTAGAATTAAAGACAGTGAGAACAATTAATCAGTTGAACGACTTGCCACCAGAAGTTGTTGGATTCTCCATTACTGGAGGTCTTCAAGAAGAGGTTGGACAACCATTTGTTTGAAATGATATCGGGTCTCCTGCTCAAACGGAGTTGGAAGACCTCCAAGGTCCCTTCCAATTGTTACTTGGTGTTCTATGAAAGTCACTGGCAGATGAGCAAAACTTTAAAGTGGAAAGGCCGTTTCTTATTCATTTTCTGCATGGCATTTCTTCAGGATGAGAGACGCTGTTGTCTCGGTGACTGGCCAGGGGAAGAGGCTCTATAAAATACAAGAGAACTGAAGCATTCCACAAACTCCCTAATAAACAGTGGATGGGTGATGAACAGGAAGTTCTATCGGACACCAGTTTCATTTTGTTTCCTTGCTATTGAACTGCTTGCTAAATGGAATGGTGGTGACATTTGGGGTGAGACCAAATGATGAGCTAGAAATAAGCTAGAAAGACAGAATTGCATGTATATTAAGCATATATTGCCTGTTTTATTGTCTACTGTTTTTATTTCTCTATTGTATTACTGTACCCGGAAAAACTGTAATGTTCAAGGGTGCTCTGACCTTTAGCAAATGAGGTTCCCTACCTGAAACCACGGGATAAACACCTTCTCTTATTTCCTTTCTCAATGACAGACTCCTTCATGTTTTCTCCTTTCCACAGGCTCAGTGAGCTGAATGTGACCCTCCCCATCTCCGAGAACCTTTTGTTTTGGAGAGAGAGGTGGCGGCTGCTGCTGCCACTGCAGGAAGTGGCAGGGTGGGAAGGGAACTGGCCTGTTGCTCTGATTGCTGGGTTTCTTCTGGGAATCTTGGCCATGCCGCCTTCACATCTCTCTTAAAATAAATCCAGATCTCCAAACCTAATGTTGAGCCAGCAGCTGTAGAAGATAGCCGACTAAAACCGCCTCCACCAGACCCCATCCTGCCTGACACGCACCTCAGTTTTCAGGGTAACACTTCTTTTTCTTTTCTGTTTTGTTTTAAAAATAAACTTTACAAGGAAAAGTCACTCTGCTTTTTAGTTAGAGTTGGAACATTCCTCGGACAAAGGTGTTGGTGTTTCAGACAACCCCATCCCTGCCCTTCCATTTTCTCCACTGCTGGGACTGATCGTGTTTTTGTCTGTTCAAGAGGAAATTGGAACAAACAATTATATGCTCAAATTTTTACTTTTTACCGCTCGTTTTTAACTTCACAAATAAATGATAACAAAACATCCCCCTGTGTCTGCTGGGTGGTGTCTGTCTTTCTCTCTCTCTGTCTATAGGGTTTTTTGAAGCTGATGTTTGTTCACAATATAGCTGTTGTAAAAGCCTGGTAATGGTCATGAATTAAGAGCTTCCTGTGTTTTTATAGTTTGAGCAGGCATTTGTGCATTTTTGTTGAATAAAATGCTTTTTTGTTTTAAAGTCTCTGATGCAAATGTGTATGTTTCCAAAAACAGGTCTCAGAAGGTTTGAATGTTGCCAGGGCAGTGGGAACAGATATTTGATGTGAGCCAGGGGCAGGCTATTTCTCAGTGAGGTTCCATAGACTGAATTGTGGTTTGGCTTGTGATGATCTTGAAATTCCATGTATGTAAAGTTTTAAAACAGCTTCATTTTTCAGTATCAGCATATGAGAGGCGTACATTATAAAAGTGGATTTTCTAGCTTCTTGCACCAATGGCTGGAACCCCCAGCAGATTATTCATCATTAAATCCATTTGGATAATTTGGTCTAAAATGCTTTGCAGGATCTGAGAAGGTACTTGGAATGAAGGTTCTTATTCCACTAAAGAATAATTTTCTTCAGCATTTGGTCTCCCTCCCTGCCTCCCATCTCCAACCCATCATGATGGGCTGGGATAAATTACTTTGTTTAAGTCTGAGTTGATATTACAGAGGGATTTTAAAAACAAAGGACTGTATACAACTAAAGATTGAGGCCTACAAGATGCTTTTTATTTTGAGTTGAAAGGGAAAGAAGTATGTAGTATTCTCTAATGCAAGGCATTTACATACCTCCTGACATGGGCAATATACAGTCAGGTCCAGAAATATTGGGACATCAACACAATTCTAACATCTTTGGCTCTATATACCACCACAATGGAGTTGGAATGAAACAAACACAGTGTGCTTTAACTGCAGACTGTCAGCTTTAATTTGAGGGTATGTACATCCAACTCGGGTGAACAGTGTAGGACTTACAGCAGTTTGCATATGTGCCTCCCACTTGTTAAGGGACCAAACGTAATGGGACAGAAAAATAATCATAAATCAATACTTGGTTACAAATCCTTTGCAGTCAATCACAGCCTGAAGTCTGGAACGCATAGACATCACCAGACACTGGGTTTCATCCCTGGTGATGCTCTGCCAGGCCTCTACTGCAACTGTCTTCAGTTCCTGCTTGTTCTTGGGGCATTTTCCCTTCAGTTTTGTCTTCAGCAAGTGAAATGCATGCTCAATGGGATTCAGGTCAGGTGATTGACTTGGCCATTGCATATCATTCCACTTCTGTCCCTTCAAAAACTCTTTGGTTGCTTTTGCAATATGCTTTGGGTCATTATCCATCTGCACTGTGAAGCGCCGTCCAATGAGTTCTGCAGCATTTGGCTGAATGTGAGCAGATAATATTGCCCAAAACACTTCAGAATTCATCCTGCTGCTTTTGTCAGCAGTCACATCATCAATAAATACAAGAGAACCAGTTCCATTGGCAGCCATACATGCCCACGCCATGACACCACCACCATGCTTCACTGATGAGGTGGTATGCTTAGGATCATGAGCAGTTCCTTTCCTTCTTCATACTCTTCTCTTCCCATCACTCTGGTACAAGTTGATCTTGGTCTCATCTGTCCATAGGATCTTGTTCCAGAACTGTGAAGGCTTTGTTAGATGTTGTTTGGCAAACTCTAATCTGGCCTTCCTGTTTTTGAGGCTCACCAATGGTTTACATCTTGTGGTGAACCCTCTGTATTCACTGTAGTGAAGTCTTCTCTTGATTGTTGACTTTGACACACATACACCTACCTCCTGGAGAGTGTTCTTGATCTGGCCAACTGTTGTGAAGGGTGTTTTCTTCACCAGGGAAAGAATTATTCGGTCATCCACCACAGTTGTTTTCCGTGGTCTCCCGGGTCTTTTGGTGTTGCTGAGCTCACCAGTGTGTTCCTTCTTTTTGAGAATGTTCCAAACAGTTGTTTTGGCCATGCCTAATGTTCTTGCTATCTCTCTGATGGGTTTGTTTTGTTTCTTCAGCCTAATGATGGCTTGCTTCACTGATAGTGGCAGCTCTCTGGATCTCATCTTGAGAGTTGACAGCAACAGATTCCAAATGCAAATAGCACACTTGAAATGAACTCTGGGCTTTTTATCTGCACATTGTAATTGGGGTAATGAGGGAATATCACACACCTGGCCATGGAACAGCTGAGAAGCCAATTGTCCCATTACCTTTGGTCCCTTGACAAGTGGGAGGCACGTATGCAAACTGCTGTAAGTCCTACACCGTTCACCTGAGTTGGATGTACATACCCTCAAATTAAAGCTGACAGTCTGCAGTTAAAGCACATTGTGTTTGTTTCATTCCAACTCCATTGTGGTGGTGTATAGAGCCAAAGATGTTAGAATTGTGTCGATGTCCCAATATTTCTGGACCTGACTGTAAGTAGTCTCTGGCTTAAAACTACAGTTGGGTCCAGAATTTCAGTCACTGAGAGATGCAGTCATTAAGCGAGTCATCATGTGACCAGACTTAATTTTACAACTATTTTTCCTGCTGTCTTTAAGCAAATCCGACTTCCCCAGTTGAGGTTGTTTGCTGGAAACCTATCAAACTGGCTGAGAAGGTCACAAATTGCAATCACATGACCGCAGGATGTTGCAAAAGGTAAATGAGCCAGTTGCTAAGTGCCTGATTTGTGATCAGGTGGGGGTGGTGTGGCAGTCGTAACTTTTAGGACATGTCATAAATCACTTTTGAGTGTCATAACTTTGAACCATCTTAACTGAACAGTTATTAATCAAGGACTACCTGTAGTCATAACTTAATGGAAATGATGGGTTAATATGCAATTGTTTTTCAAATGTCACTGCACCTCCTGCTGATACTCATTTGTGACCTCAGTTCTGTGAAAAGTATATATTACAATTCAAAAATGTTGTGCTGGAAAAGTGCCCAATTTGCCCAAGTTTATCTTTTCATGTTCCTGATATGCATCACCACCAGCTGAAAATCCTTATGGCTACATAGTAATCGCCAGAATGTCTTAGCCTGGAATTTTGCTACCTCAGACATGACTTGGAGATATGACACTTTGAAAATACATAGTGTTAATTCTAGAGATAAATTAAACAAGTGGCAATGTATCCTTGACTGAGGAATTCCAGAAAGAGTATCCCAATTAAGGGAATGAACTAAGATTATAAATTACAGCTTGCATATATGCTGCAACAGTAATTCCCCCTTTATTCTATGATTTTTCACTCTGAAAGTGATCTTTCACTCTTATGTTTTGGCCAGCAGTAAATTTTACTTACAGAGAACCATTTGCAGTCATGGCTTTTCTTGAGGATTGCAGGATGTAGTTTAACAGATTTTTGAATACATCATCATAGACAGGACTACTTACTATGCTTCAGATTATTAGGTGAGGTTGATGTAGTTGTGAACCAAAATGAATTTTTTTTTTAAAAAAAGAGAGAGTTCTGAGGAAGGCATGGTAATAGACCAGAGGTTAATTTTTTTTTTATTTTTCTGTAGAACTAAATAGCTATACCACAGAGGTAGCTGCTTTTATCACATCATCAACAACACTGCAGCACTTGGCAAAGACTACTTCTGGGGGTTCCTCCCCAAGGATCTGCAAATACAAAAACAGTGATGGGATTCTTAGATACCTCTTCTAGAATGCTCCAGCCTCTTTAAGCTCTTTGAATAACACCGGGTTTAGAAATAGGGTTGCCTTAGCTCATAGAGTTACAGTTATGGGAATGTCTAAACAAGCCCAAATACAGTAAAATGCTTAAATAAATTACTGCTATCTATTCAGATGCTGCTGAGAAGTATGGAAATAAGCCCTCACCATTATGGGATACTGAACACTGAGATTTTCCCAAGATGTTATAGCCAAACTTTTAAAAAAACCCTAAATGAGCAGTCTTTTTCATCTTATGACAGTTAATTTACTATGCAAAATGTGATTTCAGTGAAGAAATGTGTTATGCACTTTATTTATTGTGAAGTTATTTCCTGTCAATTTTGTTGGGTGACTGAGAGGAATAAAAACATAATATGAAAATTGTAAGAACTAGTTAGCCTGCAATATCAATTCATTCTTCCATATTTCATTTTATGCTAAAATAGCCTTTTAGGGTGTACTGTAATATTTTTTGTTTAAGAAACAATGAAATTAACTGATATTGGGATATATTCATGTGGATTGCTATGCTCTCAAGACAGCAACATGAGACTGGATAGATTATTTTAGCTCTTCTAAGGGAAAAAATAAATACTCTTTTCATACTTTTAAGAATTTATATAGCTCTTTTCCTTTATTGGATCAAAAGCAACATGCTTAAAAAAATGGAATGTGATTTGAACATTTAGGATTCATGCTGCTGGTGAATAGAGGGAGCCATAATACAAGTTAAATATCTGCAATACTACCACAAATTTCTTAATACTCTATATACACAGTATTAGGAAAAGTAAATTAAGCGTTGCTTCTAATACAATATCCCTAATGCAGCAAATTTAAGTTTTCCCTAAGCAATGTTCTCTCTAATTTCTAGTTATGTGTGTGGGACAGAATGTTTTGTGAGCTTTACCAAAACCAAATACAAATTTGTGTACCTTAATGTGAGTATAAGAGTAACTTGTATATCTATGTGATAGCAACATGTTAAAACATTTTCTTAGTACACTTTCTACTTTTTGTATTTTAACTATGTCACATACTCCTCCCCCCCCTTACCGCTATCATTATATATCATTTATATTTATCACCTACTTCATAGGTGAAGCTTAATGGGAAAGAAAAGTTGTTGGAAAGTGTTGCTTTAGTCTAAAACAGAATCAAACTAAGCATAGTTCTCCCATCCCAAGCAGCTAGGCTTTCTTTGCCCAGGATTGGGGGGAAGGGCAAAGACCTACATTCCGGAGTATGCTTTTCTGCAGGTAGTAGGTGAGGACAGGGTCACACAGTGTATAGTAAGTTTCAAGCCGCTGCCGGATAATTCTCTCATGGTCATTCACTCTTTGGCCCAGCTGGCTTCTGATCATCAGCCGCTGGATCATAGTCTCTGTAGAACAGTCAAACACTATAACAATGTTGGGCAAACGTCCCACCTGTAATGAGAATGGCATAAATTGGTCAGTTCAGTGCTTGGCCTGAAACTCTTCTAGATGGTAATGGAGAAGACTATGGTCAGAAGTCAATGCTTAAAATATCAGAGCATATTTACATTTCAGGAGGAAGTTACTATGTGTGGCAAAATGGTATTGAAAAGCAAGCCAGTTTGCCTGGTTTGAAGAAAAGCTACTCAAAATTTTGCAAAAGGCTGTTGCTATTGAGAAACCTCGAATAATGGGAATATCATGTTTAAAAATGCAGATCTGGGCCGTATGAAGAAAACTGACCTCAGATCAGAGAATAAACTCCTTTAGCTCATACATAGCTTAATCTGTTAATAACTGAAAAATTATGTTAAATATCCAGATGTTTGTGAACAAACCAAAATATTACTACAAGTAAAAGTTTTCAGAAGATTTGTGTCTCAGTTTAAAAATTGAGATGGTGTTCTCTTTCTAACGTAGAAATGGCAATATGAAAATAAGATATTAGTAGGGGAGAGGAATGCAATAATTAATTGAACTGAAAGAACTACATTTCTTACTCTAGACTTTCACACATCTTCTGCAGCAGGATCAGCATCTCTTAACATCCTTGCTTCACCCTTAGCTTTTCATTAATATCTAACATAAATTTATTTTGGTCTAAACTAGCCATTTCAATTTCTTTCCTTGAGTTAAAACAGAACAGTCCTATATTGAGCCAACCAATATACTCCCAATATTTACTTCCATATTCTTCTTCAATGACTCCTGTTCCAATTCATGACATCCTATGGCGAGTATAGGCAAGATGGTGTCAGTTTTCTCAATCTACAAACTTGACGAACAGCGAGGAATGATGCAGACTGAAGTCTGAACACTGGAAAGGCTACAGGTTGCCTGCATCTGCTGTAAACTAAGCAGTCCTTTCACACATACACAGAGAGACTATACTTACAACTTCCTCAAACAGCCTGGCTTGATTGATTTCTCGGGGGAAGCCTTCAATAAAGAATCCTTTAAAATTTTCAGCTTTTAACATCTTGTCAGTCAGCAGTTCCAAGATGTAGCCCTAGAGAGAAAAGTGCAATGAATTTCTTAAGATCCTAATTTTGCAAGTTGTACTGCTCCATCTTCCTTTCAGGATAGGGACAGCTGTTTAACCATATTGATATCCAAAATTTTGTGGCAGCAAGTCAAGAAAAAAGTTCAGCCCCTTTATTCAAAATGGTAAACAGAGTTCAGCTTTCTTGGACTTTGAGAATCGGCAAAAAGGAATTAAAAAGAAAAGCTGAGAAATGGCTGTCATTGCCTCTAAAGGGTATTATTGTCTCAAAAATGCAATGTTCATATCAATTTCCTCCTTAGTCCTAGAAAACCAGAATCAGAAACTGGCTATAAAGAATCACAGAACCAAGTCCTTATCATTTTACAGGGTGCCTACATGCATCACATACACACACACCCAAAAAAGCCCTAGAACTGGCTTATAAATCTCTAGTTAGCCTTTTTGCAAAACTATAGCAATTTAATGGGAAAACTGAAAGTTTTTTGAAATTTATTTTCAGCAATACTCCCATTGTAAGCAGCCAAATCTTTCCAGAAAATCCACAAGCTGGGTATGCAAAGTATTTCCAGTATTGTTCCACAATGGCTTTATACTCAGCCATATATTTCTGATTCTAGAAGTTCCATTTGCCTTTTGTCTTTCTGAACAGCTGCGGGAGATGGAACTGTCTTATTTCTTAAAACCTGTTTTGATTTTTGACTGAAGTCAATGAGATCTCAAATACATCATCATGATTGTGTCATGTTTTGCACTTGTATTTGGTGATTATTACAGTAAGAATGGGCAGTGCTGGGCTCACGCCTCCTTTTTTGTAGTATTCCTCCAGAGTTTGCACCTCTTAAATCCAGTAAAAAGCTACCCAATCACAGAGCACAATTCCCTGCTATTCTTCAAACCGGTTTGCATGGAGGTCATCCGTTTGGCTTTCCACATCTAAAAAGAAGCCTTTAAAAACCCTCTGCTGTAATAACCCATTTGCCACTGTGCGACATCATTGTCTCAGTCCCAGTCACCGTTTTTATTTAAGGCTGGAATGTTAAATGCTTCCATTTAATAACAAAACTTCTGTGCGAGACCCACCTGCTATTCTAACTAAGAAAAGATTGCCGGTGGCTGCAAAGAAATTTATTATTGACAACTATTGCTGGACTGATCTAAAAAAAAATTATAATCATCCATCCTTCGCTAATCCAAATTATGCCACAGAATATGCTGAATTTCAAAGGTTTTATCTAACTCAAAATCTGACATGTCAAGCATGGTAAAAGATTCTAAATAATCTGTTAACATCCAAATAGAAGTAAATTCTCTATGGCAATAGCTGAATTTAAAGTAGTAGAAAAAGTAAAACTCAATGGCAATAACAGAACTGAAGAAGCTTCTTGGATGTGAAACGAAATGGCTTCAAGGAAAAACAAAGTCCAGTTGCCTTTTGAAAAACGCACCTTTGGGACAACCATGACCTGGTTGACTGAGAATCTCCAGACTCTGAAGAGCAATAAGCATGTTAACTGACAGTAAAATTAACAGGATAGGATAGGTTAACTGAAGACATCAAAACACCCCTCCATCTTCAGGACGAGAATGAAAGGGATGAACTGAATATTAGCTCAGATATATTGCTTACGTAATTATAATCATGCAGTTGGTTATTATTCCAGAAATCATTTTTTTTCCTCTGAAAATACTGAGCTGCTTTAAAATGCAACATAGAGTGGACTGAATCCACACTATTATCAGTCTCATCAAAATAAATAGCCCTTAATTTAATGAGTAATTTGTATTCATTTCAGTAGGAAGAAAGCACAGCCTACATCTAGCCCAGGTTTTTAAAATATTCTTAATAAAAATAGATTCTGCCCAGAATATATAATACTGTAGGGCCTTACCGAGGGCACCAGAGCCCCTTTCAGCAGGATCTCCCTAATGGCTTTCCCTTTGCTAGTATTTCTGGTGGCTTCTTCCCGCAGCAGCTCTCCAATAGCCACATGGGAGAAATCGTATTTGCTAGCTAGCCGGATACTCTGCACATCTTTACCAGAGCCAGGACCTCCCAACATAAAGATGATGATAGAGTCTTTCAACTTTTCTGCAGCAAAAGAAAAGACAGTCACATGGAAGGATGTGTTCCTCAGGCAGTTTCTATTAAACAACAATTGCACTTTGCAAATTGGGACCCATAACAGCTTACAAAGGACAGAGTCTTATAGATTTTCAATACAATTAAACGTAGATACCGTTAGGCGGAGTGAGCAATCTGGTGGAATATCTTTTTTCCACATAAAGCTATCTTAAAGTGAGGTAATCTGTCAGTCACTCTCATCCAATAATTTATATTCCCACAATATAAATGTGGGAATATTATATGCGCAAGCCATGTGTTCCAACACGAACAGTCCTGGGCAAGATATATCAGTTTTCCTTTACCTGAATGCTAAGTGAAATCTTACTAACCACTGACATGTTCAGTCTACCAATCTTATATCAGGACTTAAATTTCAATTCTGAATCTCAAGTGTGGAACATCTGGTCTGGAACATTTTAGGACTCTGTTGCTTCTTCCTCTGTCCTGAATTTCAGACAGTTTCTAACATAATGAATTCTGAAGAGTCTGAATATATGCACATTCTTGGTGTCATTTTGGTTAGTTACAAGTTGACCATAAAGTTGATTTAAAAGCTCCACAGAAGGGGAGAATTTGTTGCACTTAGTTTGCAGCCTTTTTTTCTTCTTCTTTGTTCAACTGTCATTAAGCAGATGGAACAGAACTGTACCAAAACAGCCGTTATGATAATGGCTGGGAATGATCTCAGTCCTTCCCTAACACATCTGGATTTGGGTTTCTCCAATCAGAGAAATTCAGATCCAACTCTCTCCCTAAATATACTGGATCACACTCCCACCATGCCATTTATTTTGAATGAGAAACGACACAGGCAGTTGCTTCACATGTAAATGTGAAGTTTGCTAAAGAGCCAATGCTGGAGGGGCAGCAGCAGCAAGTGACAGACAGAAGAGCCAAATGGGAGAGAGACCAGCTTCACTCATGTAGTGCATGAGATTCCCTGGAAGTTTATCAAGCCCTACTGGATGAATTAGAACTTGCATATTTATTCTGCTACAGTTTACAGAAATTCCTTGTGTATTGGGAATTGAGGAAGTTTTCAAGCGAATAGTCCTCCTCATCCCTAAGCCAGGAAATGTAATCAAAGGAAGCCTGATGACTAGAAGCTTGCTGATATACTATTCTAAATATTACAGCATATGCAGAAAGGAAGAAACTGGGTACCTTTTAGTTCATGCTTCAAGGGCTTAGTGGATTTTGGAAGGCTGCCCTGGCAAATCCCCATTCTGAAGACTCATCCCAGGATCACAAGGCACTGGTCCAGCAGACTGCAAACTGATGTACAAAACTATTTTGGCCATTTCAGCTTAGCTGACAAGTGACTCCCCTGGGATCTCTTTCTGATGTCACAGACATCTGATGTCATGACTAACCAAACCTGGAGCAAGCAAAGCTGGAAGGGGCAGGTTGCTTTCATGGTTGGTAATCTGTTGCAATTTAAACACTGTCCACAAAGAAGTGCCTCTCTTCTTGGCTCAACTCTCAAGAAACAAAGGATGTCAACTAGACAGTCGTTCAATTTCTATTTGCAGGGCTTTGTTATTTTGTGATTTTCTCCAGTTCCTTCTCTTCTGCTGTCTCCAGGTAGTGCCACACCCACTAGTCACTTTTTTTGCCTTGAACAGTTAAGTCTGAGGTGTTGTGTGTGCTTGTCTGTTTGAAGCCACAGAGCACTTTACCTTCATTTTCTATTACTTTGTCTGTTTTCTGGTTCCACCAGTTCTTATATATGAACTGTTTTGTATATACCTGTAACTGATTAGGAGATATACCTAGAAACCCGCATGGTGTAATAGTTAAAATGGTAAGTCCTGAGTTCAATTCTGTACTGAATAGGGGATTACACAGTGGAGTCTAAAAATGTCTGTTCACCCCCACGCTCCTTTGAAAGGGAGCTATACATCATATATTCCTATTGCAAAGCATGAAATTACGCCATGTTTTAAATACAGTAAGTTATTCCCATCTCCCCACCCTACTTGCCAAACCAGGTTACCGTACGCTAACTCAAAGATCTCATAAGACCCACCCCGCAACTTCCGCTGAGAGGAACAGGCGTTTCCGCCCATACTCCCAACAATAGGTGGAAACCAAAGAGATTTTCCTTTCAAGGCGGAAAAGTGCAACTTCAGGTTCAGGCTGCAAACCGCCACGGAACAAGAGCAGAGTGGATGCACGAATAAATCGGAAGGTGGGTTTACTGAAATGGACAAAACTGCAGCTTCTCGTTCTCTAAAGCGAACCGTACATATCTGTGTTGCTGATCTGAAAACCGTTGGTATGAACTCGATTAGGCTTACACGTTACAAGAAAAGACCACGTTAACACCGTGTTAGAAGCAAGGGTTGAATTCCACCCCGCCAAGTGGTATTTATCTATTTAAGAGGCTCCTCCTCTTACACCGGGCCAGAAAAGGAGACCGTGATTTATGCCTTGAGCATAAAGCTAAGCTGGGCGGCCCTGGGACAGTCATTCTCCCACCAAACAACATCTTGCAAGAAGCTCATCTTGGTAACTACAGTGATTTGGGTTAAGACTGCCAAGGCTGACTTTTGCCCGGAAAGTATAGGGAGTCCCAATCAACCCCCCTTCCAGAGAGAAGCTCTGCCATTTCCCACTTTTTCTTTGATCGGATCTGATCTTTCCTGAGCCTGCCAGTTCTTAGGAAGCGCTTTGGGAACCAAACTCTCTCCGGGTACTACTTCCCAACCGGGCCAGAGCCATTTTCTCGCACTGTTCTGGCCAAGCATCCAGAAAGCTGGATATGACTGGAGTGTCCAGGAAATCCAAGGGGACGCATTTTCTGCCCTTCTGGCTCAAACTAACCACGCAGTCTAGTCCTCCCCTAAACGAGGCTGGGCAGCGCATCGCCGACTCCAGCGTCAGGTCCAGGCACTACGTGGAACAAGCTTGGGCTTCACCCTGGGGACACCTGAACCAAGCGCAGCTCCGCCCCTTGTGTTTCCGTAAGAGGCTGGTCCTGGCCTTTCTCATTGCCCTTAAAGGGACCGGCGCGCGCACCCGGCACGTTTCTTTTGCAAAGGATGAGAGAGAGACCTTTCCTAGCCCTTGCGTTCTCTCTGCCCGCTATAGGTCTGCTCGCCCCCTGGCGTGTCAGGGCTCGGTAGACCCTAACTGTTGGCCAGCTTCGTTGACAATCGCTGTAACGCTGGGTCTCCGCAGACCAATATCAAAAACGAAAACAACGCTCAGCGAGCCTGCGGGGCTTCTCACAGGGAGGCTTGTACAGTAACCGCGACGCGATGCCGGAAGTTTATTAGCAACCACAACGTCTACTTCCTTCTTAGCCGCCGCCAGGGTTTGCGCATGCGAGTTTGAGGATCCGGCTGACACTGCTTAGGTAAGAACGAGGGATCGCCGGAGAAGGGAAGGGAGGCTCCGGGGGAAAGGACCCGGCCGATCCCGTCCTCGGCTGCCATCGCCTTTGCCGATCGATCAAGGCATTCTGAATCCTGGATATCTTTCCCTCTCCGGGATGGATCCCAACATCCTTCCAGTGCCCGCTTTCTGTCTCTAGCCGCTCCAGAATCGAGCCGGCTTAGCGGGGGCTTTAGACGTCCGGGCTCCGAGGGCTCCACATCTTCCCTTGCTCGCCTTTCTCTAGTTGCCAGTTAGATTTTGGTATCCTAGTTCCCAGCTCCTCTCAGGAGGAAAGATCTCAGCCAGAAAGGAGAGGAAGGAATGTCCCCGAGCTGGGTTTGGTTCGTATCACTTATTTTAAGTTATTTGCTTCTTAACGAAAATGCTCCCTAAAAGAAAAATAGAAATGTTATCTTTCAGTGCAAGAAGCTTCCTACACACGATCACCGGCCATCTGGAAAAGAAAAAAGAAAAACCAGAAGCTCTCTGCTTGCTTTGCTTCTTTTTCAGAGCTTTTTTCTGCGTGAACGCACTCAGCCTCTATTTAAAGGGGGCCCCCAGGCAATCCCAGCTAAAGCATCCCTTTGCTTTTCTTTGCTCACTTGGCATTTTAGACTTTTTCTGATACTGCAGCTAACTTGTTCTCCCAGGCTTTTATAAAACTGACTGCCCCTCTTTCTTCTTTAGAATCTGCGGTTGAAAAAGAAACGTGGTTCAAACATCAGAAATGACTTCTTTGGTGAGTTCTTATTTTCATGGCTAAACTACATTTGAGGCTAGGGTTATCTCAATTCCTTCTTACATTACTTTTGAGAAGCCTTGGCGGAGGGGGTTGGAATCCTGAATGGAATCCTGAATACTGTAAAGCCACATAGGCCATTCATAATTAGAATGCCAACTGTCCAGAATTCCACTCGGAACTTCATCTGGTTTAGCCTTCCCAACCAGTTGCCTTCAGATGTTTTACTGCAGTGCCATGATCAGCAATTGCCAGCCCTTGGCAATTTTATTGAAAAAGTATGAGGATCATTGCTCAAAGCATCTGGAGGATATTAGGTCAGGGAAACTGAAGTCTGTTTCTCTTTCCATGCATTTCTGAGATTGTCAAAACCAGCCATCAGGTCAATCTTAGTCATTGATAAGTGGGTGGGCTTGTTGGGATGGGAATATACTCTGTCTTAATCCTTGGACATTTTATATTATTTTTGAATTGTGACCTTCCATGCTGCTGTTTACTTTCTATAGGACAGAATATATTGATTAAATAACGACATATTTTATTTTCACAATGCTAAACTTTGTGTCTTTAATACCCATGTATCCTACTGACATGCATTGACATAACTTGGCCAGCCACTTTTACCTGCTTCCTCTTGTATTTATATAGTTTCTTTTCTTTCTCTTTCCTAGGGAACCAGCAACCAGGGAGTAACTGAATATGTCGTCCGGGTTCCCAAGTCAGTACACATTTTTCTCTCTCAACATTTCATTTCATTTCCATTCTTTTAACTTTTTTTTATAATTTTAATATTTTGCAATAATCCAGTCAGATACAACTTAACATTAAACAAGACTGCAAATAATAGAAGAGTTGCTTGCTACTTTTGCCATTTCAGGTACAAATGTATTGGCCGCACTGGCCAATTAATTAAACAAATCTGCAACCTTGAATGAACAGCACTACTTGCAGCTCTGGTTTTGAAATGATGAGGGGTTGGGGTGATGAAAAGTCAGGACAGAAAAGGATTCTACAATGTGGAGCAGTTAAATGAACTGGAAGGCCTGCATCATATAACAGCTTATGACAAAGGAATGACTCTCAGACTCATATATGGCAGTGAGGGACATACAGGTGTGCTAAGAGATTTCCTCTGACTGGCATTTTAGCTAGCAGTTATGATCTGTATGCTTCTGTCACAGAAACACAACATTAACAAGCCAAATTGTTATTTCGGAAAGGCTTTCTCTTACAGCCTGCAACATTATTTTGTAACACTCAGAGCCTTTGATGGTCTTTTATACTTTGTCTTGCAACACAGTACAGGTAGTCCTCAACTTACAACAGTTTGTTTAGTGACCTTTCAACGTTACAATGGTACTGAAAAAAGTGACTTATGACCGTTTTTCATGCAATTGTTGCAGCAACCCCATGGTCGCATGATCAAAATTCAGATGCTTGCCAACTGACTCATATTTATGATGGTTGCAATACCCCAGGGTCATGTGATTACCTTGTGACCTTCTGACAAGCAGAATCAATGGGGAACCCAAATTCACTGAACAACTGCAGTGATTCACTTACAATGATGTCAAGAAAGATCGTAAAATGGGGCAAAACTCACTTTACAACTGTCATTTAACAACAGAAATGTTGGGCTCAATTGTGTCGAGTACTTATACTAAAGTCTCTAGCTTCAATACATGGCATGCAGGCATGATAGGTCCTCAGCAGTCTGCTGATCATTATGACTGGACAAAGCTCTCCCTTGGTATAGGTTGTCCTGTGACACATTTGTTTGACATCCTCAAACCACTCCAGACTCAAGTAGAAGTGCTAAGTCTTAACCACAGTCTGGAACTATGGCTGGTAGGAAAATTATTTATTTTGCGTATCTTCCACTTCTGGTGTATAGCAGAATAAATCAGAATCGCCGGATACCAGCTCAGCTGCACCTGTGGCTGGCCAGTGGATTCTGTAAAGTGAAAATGGAGTGTACTGTGTCTGTACCGCAAATAACGGCCAGTCAGCCAGCTCCTGCAGGGGGACCAAGGCCATAGCTGATGCAGAAGCAACTGAGGCATGCAGTTTGCTTGGCAGTGTTAGACACAGTTTGCTGCTGGCTTCTTCTGGATTGTGTTTTGACTTCCCCCCTCTAGCCATGAGGTCTATAATTTTCAAGTACTAATCAGGACCAGTTCTGCTTAGCTTCTGGGAGATCAACCATGATCTGCTCAGTACAAAGACCACCAGACAAATCTCTGCCCAAAGCAGCTTTTTAGAGAAGTAGAACATAAGTGTCTTACATGTGGTGGTCAGCACCCTGCAAAGGCCAGACCCAGTGGTCCATAACAATTTGGCTACTAAGAAGTGTTGTGTTGGGTAAGACCAAAGATTAATTAGGCCACATTTTCCCCTTATGATTAGGTGGATGCCTTTGGGAAGCCCATAACCAAGACATAAAATGCAACAGTGAGATGTCTCCCATAGATTATCAGAGATAATATATAACTATCAAAACTAACCACAGCCCTTAGTAGTCTTACTGTTTATTGGTTTAAAACTTGGCCCATTATTCACCCCTACATCCTGTTGGAGGAAATTTATCAATTCTGTGCACTGTATCTAAACTGAAAGATCTATTAGTATTTTTTAGTTTCTTTTTAAAGAAAGGTCAGAGAAAGAGGTCAGAGAAAATTATGTAGCATTTCCTTCTACAGTTCTGTCCCCATAATAATTCTGTTAAATGGGCTGAGCTAAAAGATCATTATTGGCCCAAAGTCACCAAGTGAGTTCATATAGCTGAATGAAGGTGTTGCATTTGGATGCCACCAATCTTAATCTAACATTCATTTTCCTTTTCTGTT